TGCCCAAGAGGGTGATAGGCAACAGGCTTTTAAGGGGGTGCCAAAAAGAAGGGGGGAAATGTATTTTGCAAAGCACCAGAAGGCAAAAAAGAAGCAATGGATGGAAACTGAACTGAAACTGAAGACAGAAGCAACCTAAAACTAAGGGGAAACTTCCTGACAGTGAGAACAATTAACCAGTGGAACTGCCTGCCTCCAGAAGTTCTGTGTGATCAATCATTGGACGTTTTTAAGAAAAGACTGGACAGCCATTTCTCTGAAATGGTATAGGAGTTGAAAGATATTATTTTACCATACGCCCACCAGTCTGGCTTCACCACCATTTCTTTCTTTCTTTTTTTTTACAAAAAGGCTTTCCTACCCAAAGAGGCAACTTCGTGGAGAACCTTGTTTTCTATTTATTCCAAACTCTTAGGATGGCACTTCTAGCAAAGTGATTGTTGAAATCAACATTCACTTTAACTTTATCATACCATTGATAGCATATATGATAACATAAAATGAACCATCGTTCATTTTAGGTATTGCTTAGCAATTAAAAATTAAATTAGGGTTTTAAAAGATTTCAAAATTATGGAAAAATGACAAACATCAAAAGTGAGGGGACAAATCCCAAAATGGATTATTAGAGGTGAGTCTCTCAAGGGACTAATTAAGGGTGGACTTCCCAACATGTTGTTGTGTGCAAGCCAATGAGCTAAATTCTTCTTTACTACCGGTTCTATGGGCGTGGCTTGGTGGGCATGGTGTAGCTTGGTGGGTGTAGCTTGGTGGGTGTGGCTTGATGGGTGGGGCAGGGGAAGGATACTGTAAAATCCCCATTCCCTCCCCACTCCTGGGGGAAGGATAATGCAAAATCTCCATTCCCTCCCCACCCCACTAACCTGCTTTCCAGCTCTGTTCTCCTGTGCAGGGCAACCAAAGAAGACACAGTCAACTGGGACTCAATGGGAGGCAGAGAAGAGATGGGGGCGGGGCCAGTCAGAGGTGGGATTTGCCAGTACTCCTAACTACTCACTGAGGGGCTGCCACAGAGAAAAGGGGATTAATCTCTTCTCTAAAGCACCTGAAGGTAGGACAAGAAGCAGTGAATGGCAGCTTATCAAAGAGAGATCCAACCTGAGAAATTTCCTTGTCAGTGAAAACTATCAGCAAAACGGCTTGCCTCGAGAAGTTGTGGGTGCTCCATCACTGGAAGTTTTTAAGAAAAGATTGGACAGCTATTTGTCTGGAATGGTATACTGTCTTCTGCTTGAAGAAGACTTCCAAAGTCCCTTCCAACTCTGCTATACTATTATTTAAAAGTTCGATAAACCGCAGCCTGAATAGGATCAGAGAAATGAGATGTTGAAAGGGATTGCCATCTGGTGGCAGGAAGTGTGTCCAAAGTTTAAAGAAGAACACAGCCTCTTTAGGCCTCAGTTGTGGGCTGAAAGTCAGGGTATCAATTATAAAGAAATGACTAAATGGAGGAGGGAGGAGATAAGGGTCCTGGAAGTTTGCTCCCGCCGTTGTAGCTTCTCAGTAGGCACCCAGAAGATCAGGAGTTGGCTTCTTCTGCATCAAAGAGCAAGGTCTCAGAGAGATCACTGCTCAGTGAGTTATCAACATCTTGCATCAGTGTTGTGTGTACGTACCAAAGCTCTTTGCCCAGTGAGACTAATTTTAAAAGCATATTAATTACAGACAAGGCTCCAACTTTTCGTGAAGAAGCTCTCCAACTCCCTGATGGCTTTGGATCGATCGCCTTTAGATTTTTTTTCCCCCATCTCTCTCTGGGTGATAAGAACAGATAAGTTCAGATGTTTCTGCACCACAGGTCTATGGAGATGGACCAAAGAAAGTCCAGTTGCCTCTTGAAAAAGCACCTTTGGGACAACCACGATCTGGATGACTGAGAGTCTCCTTAGACTTTTAGCTATGCAGTTTGGGATGGACACCTTTCGAATGGGGTGGGAGTATGAACGCATTTCCAGAAAGATTGCAGACTACAGGAACCATTAGCACCACTCAGGTGACACTGTCAGGGGTGGGATTCAAATTTTGTAGCAACTGGTTCTGTGGGCGTGGCTAAGAGGGCACGGCTAGGTGGGTGTGGCCATGTGACTGGGTGGGGGTGGCTCTTTTTTTTTTTTTGCAGAAACCCCCCACCCCCCAATTTTGGGGCCTTCTGGGCCTCAGGGAAACCTCCTTGGCGAAGCAGTAAGTAAGTGAGGGGAATCCCGGCACAGCTGATCATAGGAACAGCTGATCGTCAGGAGAGGGGGAAAAAAAGAGAAATACCTTAAGGAGTGACTGGGCAGGGAAGAACGCAGCAAGCAATGTCGACATGCATGCAATGTTGCGCATGTGAGATAAGGACTGACTGGGCAGGGAGAGAAGGGGCCAGCCATTTGCTGGTTCTCTGAACTGCACAGAATCATAACAACCAGTTCTATAAAACCAGTCCGAATCGGTAGAATACCTCCCTTGGACACTGTGGTCATTAAGAGAACCCATCGTTCACTATGGTGTGCTTTATTTTCTGGAAAGCAGAAGTAAACACTGATTTCCGGCAAAAGCATTGCAAAACATGACCATGTGACCATGGGGTGCTGCAAACAGCATTAATGTGGGCCAACTGCCTAGCACCCCAAATGTGATCCCATTACTCTGGGGAGAAGCAACGTTAGCAACTGTAAGTAGCTTTGGGAGCTCTGTTGTAGCTTCAGACTTACTGATAATAAGTCAACATTCTTGTTATCTTCTTATTCCAGGCCCTGATGTTGCAAAAGTCACAACATTCTATTGCAAGAATGAAAAAAGCACATAAAAGAGGTACACGGGAAAGAAAGATCGCTTCAAAATCTGTGCAACAGGAATGGTAAACATTTGGTAGATTTCTTGGTTTACCATTCCCGAAAATTTTTCCCTTGTTCTGATGAAGAACAACAAAGCTAGAAGCATTTTTGATTTCTCATGCTACAAAGTCTGTTTCTCTGAACTTCACCCAGATCGGGGGATCAAATCAGACTGGATTCCCTCCTAGATAGGCCCAAACTAGACCGGTTATTTCCATAATTCCCAGTTCAGGCCTCTAAACTGGACCGAGTGCTTTCCGCAAAACCATGTTTAATATTTTTTTTGTCCACTAGAAGTCAGGGCTGTGCCACTGAACCAACACACTTTGGAAAAAACAGAAGTCAAAGATTGGCTCTGCATTTACAGGGGCTTTGGCTATAATAGGAGGAACTCAACGGAGTGGTTTTTCCTTCTGAAGTGGAACTGGTCTGAACAGTGTTTATGGATCTCTCTTCTTTTGGCAGATTAATTTCAGAAACTTGTGCACCCTTAAAGGATTGTCATAGTCAAAGGAGAGAAGAACCAATTAAGAACAGATACCCCAACTCTGAAAATGAATACAGGGAGACAGGGCTGCAAATCCTAAAAGAGCAGATTTGAATCTCTCTTCTTTGAGAAAGTGTTTGCTTACTTCTGACCACAGTGGCTTCCCCACTGCAGCTGCCCATTTGAAGATAATGGAGCTGATCCTGAAAACAGCAGCTCTTTCCTCCTTAACGTATAGAACTTAACTTCTCATTCAAGTATAGCTTATTTTATTGTCTCAGCTGTCTTTCATTGCAACCTTTCTCCCTCCCACAGAGAGGATTTTCATGTAAAAAAGACCCAACTCTTCTTTTGAGGGTTGACCTTGGAAGTGGAGATAGAGAACTTAGTGGTCAGCCACTAGAGAGGGAATGGGTTCTCGATCAAGGAGTGGAATACCTTCTAACAAGGTCAGTTGAAGGTATAGATTTCAGGTGTTCAACCAAGGAGCAACTACATTGAAAGGAGAAGAGACCGTGGATACTATTTCTCTAGAACAGGGGTTGCCAATCAGTGGGTCGTGGACCACTGGTGGTCCGCAAGAAAATTTTGGTGGTCCGCAGAGACCTCCCAAAGCACCCCCCAAAGCAATTAATCCAGGCTGCATGGGAACACAAGGCTGCACTGCCCACATGGCCCACAAGAACACAAGGCTTGCATTGCTTGCATTTTTGGATAACACGAGGTAGTGAGGGGAGGGGGGAAAGGGCGGAGGAGGGGGAACCTGCCCCATGCACCCCACGCATTTCACCTGGCCACCAGGCTGCTTCTTTCCGCTTCTTTCTTCTTCTGCTTTTGGCTGCATGCAAGGAAAGCAGCAAAAGTCTTTCTCTCTCTCTCTCGAACTTCGCTAGAAATGAGTCTTTGAGACCCTGCAAGGCATCTTGCTCCAAGAGGCTCTGCCAGCACGACAAGTCTCACAAAGACTCTTTTCTGGTGGAGTTTGTGGGGAGAAAAAGAAAGACTTCTGCTGCTTCTGCTGCTTTCCTTGCATGAAGCCCCAAGTTTTTCTCTCTCTCCCCCTGAAAATGGAGCTGGAGACCCTATCCTGCGATCCCAAATAAAGAATGATGGATTGGTAGGAAAACGGGGTGGGTAGTTTTCCTGCAGACTTTTTGGGGGGGATTTTCCCAGAGTCTGTGACCCGCGGGATTTTAAATTATGAGTTTGGTGGTCCCTGAGATCCAAAAGGTTGGTGACCCCTGCTCTAGAAAATATCGAGACTTTGGAGTTGTGGGAGGAACAAAACCTATGTTCTGCTTTGCTAGAATTTGTTTGATTCTTTGTTTATTTGATTTATGTTCTTCTCCTGCTCTAGATGTCTACGCCTGAGGAATATCGCAGAAGCTTTGCCTCCAAAACAATAGAAGCTGTGCTGAGAAATAGGGGATTGCCCAAGGAATTTTCAAGTCACTTTTTCAAAACGTTGCTTTAGATGTCCCTCACCCATATCTTTTTCAGTTGTTTTTGTATCTCGTGTAGGGTGCCCTTTGAGTTCAAATTAAGTCAGAGTGACTTCATCTTGGGTGATGTTTAATTTCTGTTTGAGCTTGTTTGGGTAACTCCACCCTTTAACCTTCGGCTGCCTAATGAGGAAGTGAAAGCTTTTCTACTCTTTCATTTGAACTCCTCATTTGAATTCCTCACGTTTGCTGTTGGACTGAAATGGGGAGACATTCCACTTTATCGACTCTTCTCAACCATTTAGTAATTTTGTAGGCAAAACTGGTAAGGAAGATCAAGAAAGAGGCTTCTTCAGGACCGTTTGGGCACTAACACTCAAAGGTATTGCTTCAAATTGTTCATAAGAATGAGCAAAATGTAAATGTTGGGTTTGTTTAAACCTGGGTGGTAGATATCCTCTTTGGGAGTTTTGTTACATTGATGTTACCAAGGGAAGCAACTTCGAGCCCTGTTGAGGAGGGGGGGGGGGGAAATCTTGACGGTGTTTCAAAATGATCCTGCAATATATATTGTAGCCAGACGTACATTTGCTGCATGTTCTAGTTCTGACTTTTCCTTGCACAAAGAAAGTGGCAAATGGGTTAAAATGAGGCTGAAAGGTTTAACACATTTAATAGATTAACAGAGTTGGAAGGGACCTTGTAGGTCATCTAGTCCAACCCCCTGCCCACGCTCTCGGGGTTGATGTTCTTGGCAATGGAAAGGGATGAAGTACCAACGCTTTGCCATTTTCTCTGGGAAGCCAAAAGAAAGAGAAGACATCAAGGTCCATTGTAAAGTTTTGGCACTCCTGGAAGCTTCTTCATCCCTTTGACTTCTCAAATGTTTCTGAAGAAATCGATTGCTTCAAAGGAGGCTGCATTTCTGAGTTGACTCTCCATCGATTTATCATTTGGGTTGCATAGCCTTTCCCTGTGGCATTTACTCAAGTTTTGGATCCTTTTTGTGCTTGTAATGTTTTTGATGGAATCTTTCTGGAGAACTTGGGTTATTGGGCTGGTGGAAAATATCTCTAAGAAAGAGGTGGGCATCCTTACAGGAGAACCTTACTTGTAGGCATCTGGGAGAAGATGATTAGATGCTACACAATGTCACTACTTTTTGCCTTCTTAATTTACATGCCCCCCCTCCCAATTTAATAGGCAGTTCAAATTTCTTTGGGGATGTTTTTTATTGATTTCCTCCTTTGCAGCTCTCCCCACAAAGAGATTGCCACTGTTTCAGTGTGAGCCAATGGACTATTTTTATTTCCATGAAAAATAAACTTCTCCTAGCAGCTGTTTTTTCCCCTAAGGAAGAATTTTTTGTAGTATCAGCTCCCATTGTGGGAAAAGTCCCGGGGGAAGCGGGACAAGGAAGTCCAGTTGCCACATGAAAAAGCACCTTTGGGACAACCATGACCTGAATGGCTGAGAATCTCTACAGACTTTTAGTTACACAATTTGGGATGAACACCCTTGGAATGGTGTGAGATTTCCAGAGGAAAAATTGCAGACGACAGGAACCATTTGCACTACTCTAGCGATCTTGAGGACACAGACAAACCCCCTAGTGGCCTCAACAACTCTCTAAAACGATGCAAATGACCAGCTGTCTGCAAGGAATATAAATCCTTCCATTCCCCACTATCTTGTCAGAGCTGAAGAAGCTTCTGGGATGAGAAGTGAAACGTCTTCAAAAATTAAAAAAACAAGACAGTCCAGTTCCCTCCTGAAAAAGACCAGCTGGCCGTTGGCCATCTTTGAGACAACCAGTCTGAATGCAGGCAAGGAGGAAGAGAAGTTCAGAATTCTGTCAGAGTCATTAATCTTTTTTTTTTTTTTTAATCAGTTAGATTGTGTCTGATTCTGCAAGTCCCTGCAGTTTTCTTGGCAAGGTTTTTCAGAAGTGGTATGTCACTGTTTCCTTCTTAGGGTTGAGAGAAAGTGGCTGGCCCAAGATCACCCAGTTGTCTTTGTGCTTAACGTGGGATTGGAACTCATAGCCCTCTGGTCCCTACCCTGATGCCTTCACCAGTATACCAAACAGGGTCTCCATCAGTGGTGGGATTCAATTTTTTTTACTACCTGTTCTGTAGGCGTGGCTTGGTGGGCATGGCAGGGGAAGGTTACTGCAAAATCTCCATTCCCTCCCCACCCCACTCACCTGCTTTCCAGCTCCATTCTCCTGTGCAGGGCAACCAAAGAAGACCCAGCCAATCAGCTGGGACTCAATGGGAGGCAGAGAAGTGATGGGGGCGGGGCCAGTTAGAGGTAGGATTTGCCGGTTCTCTGCACTACTCAAAATTTCCACTACCGGTTTTCCAGAACTGGTCAGAACCTGCTGAAGACCAGCCTCTGGTCTCCATGTATGTTTGCATGGGAAGGATAAGTAACACAAAATACCTCCTTGATAGTTATTGAAATGATATAAGCTTATTTGTTGAAAAGAGCTTCTTAAAGCCAATGGAGCACTGCCAGAAAAGGAGTGGGCAATTCCATGCAGAAGAAGTGTTTTGATTTCTCAGAAACGAGAAATGAAGCAAGGCGATCACATCACTTGCGTAAAACTGGCACAAGATTGTTTTTGTACTTTGAACAGTGTCTAGAAGAAAGATCACGTCAGAGCTAGGGTACAACGGCTGATATCCAGGGGTGGGAGTTAAAAAATTTTAACAACCAGTTCTGTGGGCATGGCTAGCAGGGCATGGTCATGTGATTGGGTGGGCATGGCTTCTTCTTCTTCTTTTTTGGCAGCCCTCCCCCCATTTTTTTGCCTTCCTGGGCCTCAGGGAAGCCTCTTGGGTCAGCATTTTTGCTCCCAGAAGGCTTCTCTGGGGCCTAGGAAGGCAAAAAATGGAGCAACCCCCACCCTGCACTCCGTTTTTGAGCCTCCTGGGCTTCAGGGAAGCCTCTTGGGTGAAGCAATAAGACAGTGAGGGGAATCCCAGAACAGCTGATCATCAGAACAGCTGATCGTCAGGAGGGGGAAAACAAGATATATCTTAAGGAGTGACTGGGAAGGGGAGATTGCAGTCATTGATGTCAGGCATGCGCACGATGTTGCACATGCGCAATAAGGACTGACTGGGAGGGGAGAGGTGGGTGGAGAGGGGAGGGGCCAGCCAGGGGCACGATTTGCCGGTTCTCCAAACTGCGCAGAATCATAACAACCAGTTCTATAGAACCAGTCCGAACCGGTAGAATACCAACCCCTGCTGATATCCCTAAATGAAACCATCTGCTCTAGGAATAGTTTGCTAGCCATTTTGTGTTAGCTTCTGTAAAATGAAGGAAGCAAGGAGATAGAAAACAAGCACCTTTGTTTGTAACGTGTGTGTAACGTGTCCATACACTCTTTGTTTGTAACGTGTGACTGTAGAGTTCGTGCTTAAGAAGAAGGTCAGGGTGGCAGCCCCATCCATTATTCTGCCAGTCCAAGAGCAAAAGATTTTGTAGAGACATTATTTTGCACTTTCTTGTGTATAAAAATTAGCAGGAACTTTTTTTTTTTTTTTTTGCTTTGTTCCAGACTCCTTTGGTTTTGGGAAATGAACTGTGTATTATAAAAATATATGTTTACGCATTTAAAACTGTTTTTAGAAAATATTTTTAATTTCAGGAAGTTTGGTTACTTGTTGCATGACTTAACACAACTGGCTTTTTGTGTCAGTATAATGTATATTTTTTTTGTCCTGTTATTAATTTGTAAACCTTTGGGGTAAATGGCCATTTATTTGTACAGCAAACAGGAATAAATTGAAGAAAATTGGCTAGGAATGGAAGGGTGGATTTTTGTACTATATTGAAGAATCCAATATCTGTTTTTGGTGGTTATGTAAAAGGCCTGAAGAATTACTATCTAGTATGCAATCTGTGATATCTGAATGTTTTATTGTATATTTGTCTCCAATACAAAAATGTAGAGTAACACAAATACAATACATGATTAAATGCAATAGTTCAGGTACCTTTTTTGTTTTTCATTTCAAATAAATACTATTTACTACC